CAATCGTCACCCCTACCCCACCTACCACACTACCCACCCCTAACCCACCCACTCCATTACCCACTCACCCACACCTTGGCTATGCTACACCTACACACCCGCCCCCAACCTACCTGGGCCCACCCCACCCTACCCTATCTACCTAACCATTCCCTTATTAAAAAAAACAATGGAAAATGACAACTGAAAAGTTTTAATAAAATGCGTTTTCTAAAATTTTCAATGAAATCTGAAAATAAAAACTCATCTTCGTTGTAAACTTTTCCAAGAAAACTGAAAATTGTTTTTTCCAAAACCAAACACAATCTGGGATTCAAACATATACCATTGGATTTCTATTAATATAGTTCAATACATATCGATGGAAGGCAAACGGGTAACAAGTTGCGCCGCTAGCCCTTTCTGGATGGCAAAACTAATTCTTTTGAAAACAACATCTGTGGATCTAGGAGATATGACATTAGAATGCATGACCCGTTGGACTCTGTTGAGGAGCTCCACTGTCTCTGGTGCGAGAAAACCAAATGTATCAAATGCAAAAGGCATAAACACATGTTGATTTTCTATACATGCATTCTCGTGCTTTGCCACTTTACACACATCGACTTTCAAAGCGGCATGCCCTGCTGTAAAACCCCCGCTCCTCAAACCGACGAGTGGAGAGACCCCAGTAAGATCCACACACGCGTGCTTCCCTCCTACCCATCCAAAGACCAAAATGTCAGCCGGTCTAAGTGTGGATCTTCCATCCCGCGGGTCCGTCAAAAAGTTCACTGGCGCTTCTTTCTTCGCAGAAATACCAGCACGCCGACAAGCATCAAAGAGAACATCTCTAACCACATCATGTCTGTACTTGAAACCAGGGAGCTCCCTACAATGAACCTCATGTTCCCCAAAGGTATCCAAACATGCGGCAAACTGGGCATATCTCGTCAATTGGGAATAGAGGAATCATGAGGCGATAACGAAGGATAGTTCGGTACTCCACAGGAGACATATGCTGGCCAATGCCATCAATAGGGATAGTTAGCAGAAAATCCTGAACATGAGGTGCCCGAAGACACTCAAAGACTGCTTTCTGTCTAACAGACATGTCGAGTCGACTTCCATATCTTTGACGATTTTGCTAAAAAGGGCACACACCAATGCTTTTTGGGATTTAGGGGGGGGGTGTCCTTATTAGTGAAACCGCTACAGTCGAATCCCGGAATCGTATCGCGAAGACGAGTCATGACACATAGGTAATCAAAGTCTATACCACATATGCCACTGTCACGTAAGATGTGGTCTTGTAATGCCCAAGACTGGGCCATCGAGGCTACAAATGCGTAAGAGGAAACCTCGTATGCCGAGTACAAACCCAAACCACCGAAACAAATAGGTAAGGAAGCCAAACGCCACTGAAAGTCTCCAAAGAAGGGGCCTCCACATACCACTATATCCTCGATAGACCTGCACAATCATTTGTCAAAGAACAAAGCTGCCTCATCTATATGCACCGACTGACATGTCCTTAAACCAAAGAAAATTTTTGCAATGCCCATACATGATCGAAGTAGTTGTTGGATTCATATCATTTTAATTAAAATAAAAACTAAAAATTCATTCTGTAAAACGAAACGTTTATTTTTAAGCTTTTTCTTAAAGGCTAAAAGGTTAAATCAAAAGCTACATTCCAAAAACGCCAAACTTATATCCTTGATTAACTTTCAAAAGCATAGAGCTACTTTCACAAAATAATTTACACAAATAAAATCCATACCACTTTGTTAGGTATGACTCTTAACGATTATAAGTTGTTATAAACAAGTTTCAATTTATAATTATAAATAAATAGAACTTCATAAGATATACAACATACATAGTTGGTGTGTACATTTATTTTGGAGGGAGGCTCGCAAAATATCTTAAATTTGATACTTTGATTCCCCATTTTTGGAGCTCGCAAATCACACTATACATGAGAAAGTGAAGAAGGGGGAAAAGTGAAAAGCGAGACATGGATGAAACAGAGTTTCTGAACTCAAGCCCGACAGAGAAGAAGGAGAGGAACAAGTTTCCATTGCTGAGGTATGAAGAACTGCCGGAATATATGAAGGATAATGAGTACATCTTGAATTACTACAGAGCTGAATGGTCTCTTAAACACGCCTTCGTTTCCTTGTTCTTATGCCACAATGAATCTCTTAATATATGGACGTAAGTGCTCTCATCTTCTCACTCTCTCGATCTGACATTTTTCCTTTTCAATTTTCTCCATTAATTAGGGAAATAGTTCGTAATTCTGTCTTTTCTCGTTGTCATGATATGATTCGACATATACATGTTACAATCATTCCGTAGTTTTGTTCGAATATTGCCGCTGATTTTAGGAAAAAACGTCCTGATTTTCTCTTTCATCGATAGATGATCCCTAGATATGTTACGTTATCTTCGAGTTTTACTATTAATTTTAGGGGAAAAGTTCGTAATCTCTTCTCGAACGCGTGTGTGGATCGATCTAAATTCTCAGGTTACGATTTTAAAGGATAAGTTGATTCTCTCCCTCGATTTCATCAAAGCGTGTATACTGTATATTAGTATATATCATCAAGATCATGAAAAATTCCCATACGATTTCATTGTTTTTTTTTGGATGAATTATCTTAAAACTATCTATAACCTGTATTCATCAGAATGTGTACATACAATCGGATCATGTGAGATTTTCCCAGAATTATATTATCTCTAGAAGGAATAAAAAATCAACAAAATTTGGGGTAAGGTTGGTGCAAGCTGCAACACCCACCTATATTCAACCTGTCAATTTTCATTTCAAGTTTCGATTTAATGTTTTAGAATTAAAAACCAATATTTAAATCGTTGTAACATTATCTATACAGATAATAGTATGTTCTATGTTTTTTTTACCCTATAGGATACAACCCACACATTTTTTTATTGATAATAACTACATTGAATTTTGTATATGCAGTCACGTGATTGGATTTGTTGCGTTTTTGGTACTCACAGTTGCAAACTTGACAGAATTTTATCAAGTGGCCGACTTCATTAACCTTTCCAAATGGTACTTACTAATTATTATTCGGCTTAAATACATATCATAATTTCAAGATATTTATTCCCAAATAAAAGTTGTATTGTTTTTATTATAATATATATTTTTTTTCTAGGGTTTTTCCTTCGGATACGGGTACACCACCACCGCTAATAGACACACCACGTTGGCCATTATTTGTCTTTTTATGTGGTTCAATGTTTTGCTTCGTATCAAGTAGCTTATGCCACCTGTTCTCTTGTCACTCGCAACACCTAAACTGTCTACTGAGTCAGTTAGACTACATCGGAATAGCAGTTATGATCATCACCTCATTTTTCCCTCCAATATATTACCTCTTTGAATGCGACACCATATGGCAATATGTTTACCTTACAACAATATCCATACTCGGTGTTTTAGCAGTCATTATACTCCTTTCCCCTAAACGAACACGTGGGAAATACCGATTCATTCGGACAATAATTTTTGTGGCAATGGGTCTTTTCGGGGTAATCCCTATGATCCATGCTACCATTGTTAATTGGAACGTGCCTCAGAGGAATACGACTTTAGGTTTTGAATCTGCTATGGCTTTTTCGTATCTGATAGGGGCCATGTTTTATGCTACTCGGGTACCTGAGAAGTGGAAGCCTGGTTGGTTTGATTTGGTTGGACATAGTCACCAAATATTTCATGTTTTTGTCGTGATGGGTGCATTGGCACATTATATTGTTGTAATTATATTGTATGAGTATCGTCGACGTAACGGTTGTAACTGATTTTAAATATTTGTATTATGCAAAATTTCGTTATAGCTCCTGTTAGACACAAATTATATTTTTATATTATTGTATAATCATAAAGCAATCAAAAATCAAGACATTAATGTTTATTTTGTTTGTATTGTTTTACTTTAATATCCTTACAGTCATTTGTGTAAATTGGTTGAAATGTTGAAATCATTTTTAAATTTAAATAGGGATTGAGATTGAGATTGAGATTGAGATTGGGATTGGGATTGAAATTGGGGTTGAGATTGGAATTGAGTTGGAAAGAAATTTGAATTTTTAAAACAATGGCCCTTTCTCTCTCCTCGACTTCTTGTTGCCGAGTCCACGTCACCCGAGCCACTTTGTTAAGCCTAAGCAAAAGGTTTAGGTTGATTGATCACATACAATACTTTTAAGAATCAATCCTTTTTGAGCAGTACAACCACCATTTGCAAGTATCTACATATCAACAACATTGAACAAAACAAATATACTTTTTAAAGAAGTATTCTTGTTTAGATAAAATTCCTATGAAGGTGGTTCACCATGTGGTAAATATACAAAGACATTTTTGTCTTGTTTTACAAGTGATGTTATGTTACCTTATTATAGCCATCCTAACTGAAACCTTAAGGATTTGAACTTGATCTCATGTGGGGATGAGTTTACTAAATATTATCAAGTGGGCTACCAAGTGATAGTTAGTAGTAAAGTCAAATTCGTTGACTATAAAACAAATTAAGATATTCATTTTCTCAAAAAGAATTTCTTTTTGTTTGACGGGTGACCAACGAGCGTTGACAAATATGATCCATTAAATAACTTGTGATAACATATAAAGAACAACATCTATATATAAATCCGCTTACATCCTTTTCATCATATATATAGATAACAATACCAGCCTCAGGATATCGAAAATATTTGAAAGATAACAAAGTCTAACTATTTGCCAAATATAACTTTCTGACCATCAAAATAACAACCCATAATGGTTTATACTATATGATTGCAGAGTGAAGAAACGACTCTGCATATTGAATAAATACTTTCTGCTACAAAAATTATATCGTGAATATCTCATTTTATGAATTCAAGAAATATCATCAATATCTTATTTTATGAATTTGTTATCGAGAAAACCTAATTTATGAAAGATGAAGCAACAAGATTGAACAAAAATATGCTTTCAAAAAGATAAAATCACATGCTATACATAAAAAGATCTCAATAATTTATGGAAAATAGAATTTCATGAAGTATTTATGGAACCTAAATAGTAAAAGTTTCATACTATGTGAAGAGATCGTTTAGGTAAAAGATGTTTCTTTTTTTAAGGAGTTGAGGGTTTAAGTTGGATGATTATGAGTAGATTTAAAAGGTAGGTGTTAACTGTTAAAAATAAATAAAGAAAAATGACAAAAATAGCCAAAAATACTAATTACTTTGTGGAAAATAGCCAAAAAAAAATTGAAATTGCAAAAATGGCCACAAAAATCGCAGATGGGAATGGTTCATCTGCGATTTACACATTTCATCTGCGAATGTACAAGTGGCTAAAGCACAAGTGTGCTTTAGCCACTTGTACATTCGCAGGTGGATTATTTTTTATAATTTTTTTTTTCTATATATATAGGGCAGGGAAGGCTTAAATCGCAGATGGACACAGTCCATCTGCGATTTCCTCTGTATTCCATCTGCGATTTTACGAAAAAAAAAATTAATTTTTTTTTATTTTGACTATGAAATCAATTGGTTTGACTACGAAATAATCTTACTATATATAAACTTTTGT